CCCCGCCAGTAGGTCAGATTGTCAGCACATCTGCAGCCATTTCAATAGACAGTCTGAAGACTCTTCTGTCCTCCGATAGCAACACCTAGCTAGCCCAATTCCATTTGAGCATTGAGGTGTAGCTTATTGCCCTACTTTCTTCTCCATACCGATTTAGAGCAGGCCAGTGATGCAGTCGTGCTGCTCAGGGAGAGGCCGTGGTAGATGGGTATCTTGCAGTTCTCATTGTTGCAATTTTACATGCTGATCCCATGTGCAAATGTCTCCTCAAGAAAGCCTTACTATAATGCAGAAAAGGGACAGCTGATACATATTTTCTTGCACCTGAACCTATAAAGCATGTACCATTTCCTCTGTGTATAAATACAGAATTCTTAGAAAGCACCATAAAAGGGAATTAGTAATAAAGACTTGTCTGTTTCCCATTACAGCAGAGTATAGTCTTTTCCTCTGTTCATTTCATAAAAAATACGTTGTCATTGTTAGATGAACAAAACCATGTTTCACTGCAGTGCTGCCAGTTGCAAGCCAGCCTTTTTAACAAATACTCTCTCAGTTTATCAAAGTAATTGGAAATTGCTCCTTGGAGGCTGCTGAAACCATAACAAATACAGACAGTAATGACTGTAATCAGAAGACTGCAAAACAACACAGAAAAGAACTTCACTGTAGACTCACTGGCTGTTGCCAGCTTGTTCTTGTTTTGCTTATGCTGCAGACTTGAAACATAACCAATAACCAGTTATTGAGTAGCTGGCAGTGTAGTAGCAATTATTGTAGTCTACTATATGAACACATTCCCCTCATAGACGTCTTGTGGACTTCAGAGGATACAAGAGTCACCCTAAATGCCGTCCAAGTGAAGTAGTGTTGGTCGTTCATAAAAGAGAAATCTAGATGTGAGCTGTGGTGAGAAAAGGAAATTGTGATCTTCTTTAAAACTTACATAATAACAGTGACAGTTCCTCCAAAGTGCGCTCCCTTTTCAGCACGAGGATGTCCACTTAGCAGGTGTCCTGCTTGCCTGTTGAATCTGCTTGGACTTTCACTGGAATCCAGTCGCCTTTTCTTCCTTCTTGGTGATGGGCGTTGGTAGCTTTGTGCTCTTCTTCCAGCTAGGAAGGGGCTACTTAACTGACAGCTTGCACACAGCTTGCCAAACACTCTAGCAAGCCTTGGGAAGCTGAGGTGTTTTTGGAAACCACCTGGAGGACTCTGATCTTTGTGTTCCCCTCTTCCCACATGTGTTTCAGGAAGTCTTAACTGTATAGCATTGCTACTTGCACCTCCTTTTAAGTATCTGAACGTGCAATGAATAAAAGTATAAGATAAGGTTACTTTAACCTTTTGGAAAATATATTTATAGCTTTTGCTTCTTAGTCTGAGGAGTAGCATTTAGATATTTTTGAACGAGTAGTTTTTTCGCCTCTATAAATTTTCATTTTAATTACAATTTGTCAGTAATGCACAGTGAGATCTTAATTACCTGGATTTCACTAGACAAATTGAACAGTACTTCCTTTTGTTGTTGAAGGGAAAGTTTGTGGGGGTTTTTTCAAAGGCAAAAAAGACAGCTATTCATCTTCCTGTTAGCTGCTGCTGCTTTCTTTTTTTTTTTTTTTTTTTTTTTTTTTGTGGCCAGAAATGTGTCATCCTTTCATAACAGTCCTGGTTTGTACTCTATCCAAAATTTGAAAAGTGGCAACATTCTAGTAAAAATGTGTGAAGACCTTAAGTTGTAACAGCTTATGCTTATTATCTTTAATGTGTATTACATCTGTATCTAAATGAGTTGACTATGCAAGCAAAAAAGAAACAAAGTTAATCATTGTGTAGAATATGGATTTTTTTAGTAAGGAACAAATACTCAATATGCTTAGTTTCTTTTAACAAAAAATAGCCAAATCTATCCCAGAACTTGAGCTGAAAATGAGAATTAGTGGATATAAGTAATAAAATGTTCTGAAGGCCTGAAAGACCTCCCACAAAAAAATAAAAGTGTTCATAGTACGAAGTTTGCCTAACTGCTATGGTACTGTATTTTACATGTGAACTATCAGGTTCCAAACCAAGCAGTGATAAAAACACATTTACAGTTGTCACCACTATAAAGTTGCCACTAGTTACCTTAATGTAGCCTTGTCTTTACTGTGAGTAATACAGAATATCAGCCTGTGATGAAATTATTCAGTAGTTCTTTAGTTTCATCCTGTTTTTCCTGTCCATAGACTTAAAGCTCTGAGGTACAGACAAGAGGAAGAAAACTCCCTTGTCTGACGACTGGAAAAAAGCAAGTATTCAATAAGCCTGAAACAATTGAATACTTCTACAGACCCCTTGTTGAACCAAAAGATGGAACTCCATGTGTGAGCACAAGCCTGCTGTAAACCTTAACTTTGTTCTTAATAACTATTTGGGAGGTTAGGTATCATGACCGACGGCTGCTCAAGCGTCTGTCCTTGTTCTGCTTCCTTTCTTCTTTCCCCTGTGATCCCCTTTCTCACCTCTCTTCCATTACCCCAACATTCTTCAAAAAGCAAAACTCCCCAATAGCCCTCTCACCAAGCTCCCATTTTAACACTTTCTTATTTTGTTCTGTTTAGGTATTCCTGTCTCTCAGCAGCACTTAATTTGGAATAATACGGAACTGAAGGATGACTATTGTTTGAATGATTATAAGTAAGTATAGAATAAAATTGCCATGAGTGTTTCTGAATGATTGTTAGCATAAGCAATAGAGAATGCTACAAAAAATTATTTATTGTTATTTACAGCATTTCAGAAGGCTGCACTCTGAAGTTAGTTCTGGCTATGCGAGGTGGACCTATTAACACTAGAAGAGGTAGGTGTTACCTCAGAAAATAATTACATGCGACATCTTGTAACTGTAAACAGTTTCTCTTAGTTAAGCATTTTAGAGGAGCAGATTTCAGTTCCAAAGTAATTAGAAAAATACTTGACAAAAATGGAAGGATTTTTTTCCATCTTTTTTTCCTTACCATACCAAGTGTACCATCCTTTTCATTTTGTTTACCCTTAGTTTTACAAGTATCTTTGTATAGAATCATCAAGTCTTAAAATCAGCAATTCTTCAGCTGCAGAAAAAAATGATACTATAATGTCATTATACAAATAGGTTTCAAAATCTGGTTAGTAAGAATCAGGCATTGGTTTAGTCTTATGATAAAGTTGGTTATGTGAATCATCTATAGAGAAATGAAAATGGACAAATTGCTTTGATAAGTTTCACTTGGAAAACACTCAGCATATCTTCTAGGTTGGGAATCCCCATTGTAAACTGAGCCAAACTCTGAGGTGATCAAAACAGCAACAACAACAACAATAATAATAATAATTTGGGTTTATTCTGTTTTTTCTCTTTGTAGTTCCTGTGGAAGACCCTATCAGGGAGATGGCTGAATACATGGATCCTAGTAGAGATGAGATCTGGGAGAAAGGGCCATCCAACAAACAAGTTACCTTCTTAGTATATCGAGAAGGCGATCAGTTGAATTTCTTCCGTGTGGTAGACCGGGGAGATGGCACTTTAACACCATTATCTGAATCTTTGAGGTAAAGTTGGGTTTAATCTTTATATTATTTTTCTAAAGAGGAATGATATATAATTTTCGATTTTATTTGTTCACTTTATCAAAAGAATATCTGGAATATGTCTGGAGTATTGCAAGAATTGTGCCTGAAGGGCTACTAAAATGCTGTAACTGCATGGCCTAAGGATACAGTAGTACTTTCTGGTCAGTGATCATGCTGACAGTCCTCTGTCACTGTGTGTGTCAATAGAGTGAGATAAAGCTGGTCTTGTGCTTGAGGCAATTCTCAACATTCCAGCCCTTTCTAAAAGGGAACATTTCACAGGAGAGTCAATTTGGCAATAAAGATATTAAAAAAAAAAATTTGAGAAGTACTTTCTCTTTCATCTTAAGGCATTGGATTAGTCAGGAAGCTAGTAGATTGGCAGTGCAAAATCCTGAGAGGGTTTGTCTGAAGTTGCAGAGAAACTGAGGGGGTGTGTGTTGGGTTTTGGTGGGGGTTTTCTTTGTGGTTTTTTTTTATATACTGAAAGAATTACCAGTGGAGCTAGCCTTTGGACATAATTAGGCCTCAGATTAGCTACTGTTGAGATATCAAAGTAGTCTAAATTACTGTCACAGAACCAAAGTACTGTTATCGTCAGAAGAGCAAGTATGTCACTTAAGCTACTACATTGTAGTAAAAAGATTAGCAGTCTTTTTCCTAAAGCTATCAAAATTGATAATATCTGTTAAAAATTATTAGATTCTGTCTTTATACTGCAGCTTTTGTGTAGAGTTTTTGTTGGTTTTTTTTTAATCCTCTGAAGAACTTAGTATTTGTACAGCTGCAAGGAAAGGAGTCCCTGTTCTGGGGACTAGCTGCATTTTCTCTAAGGCCAAGACTTGCACTGTTTTAAGTAACTATTCTTGTTCCTATTTGCAAACTGAAAGCAAGAGCTTTGTACAGCTTTTATATTCAGTGTGATTCAGTGGGTTCAGAGTGATATTACTCTAATAAACTTTTATAAGAGAACTGTACTTAAAAACTACAGGCTGAATGAAATTTCAAGGTTGAATTCCCACATAGTTACACAGAGTAGAAAGAGCTAGTGTTTGATATACAATTACAGGATGAAAAGAAGAGGAAAGATACAAAGGTATTAGATCTGTGATCTTATCTTTCGGCCCCTGCGGTCTTTTCCAGTAAAAAGCCATATACGGTACTGTGTGTAGATCTGAAATAGGTAAAACCCACCATCATCGGTAAGAACTGAGAACCTTGCTGCTGCATTTGCCTAGATACACTTCTGGAAATAGGAGCAGACAGATGTAATTCCTGTTCTCACTGATACCCTGCCTATTACCAAATTGTTCCCTTTTACCTTTTAACTCCAAAGAAGATCCAAACCAATCCAAAGAGCTAGGACTGTGGATGCTGTACTGTGAGTTGATGCAAGAAGTTGTCAGAAGGAGCTTGAACTTTCATTTTTCAGTATAACGGGCTCCCTGGTATCTGCCGACGTGTTCAAATTCTTGTGTGTGAGTGTGACAATTTTTATTTTTCCACTTCAAACTAACATGGACAATTGTCTGAAATTCTTAATACTTCTCAGTTAGGTAATCCTAGTGTGTAGATTAAATGGTAATTTATTTGAGATTGGCGAAATGTGGCAAAGCAGGGGTATAAACCACACAGCATGTATGAAAGTCAAATACGTTATGCTTAAGAAATGTGCTGTCACTGATCAAATTATCCAGTTAGGTTGGAAGTCACCTGAGTTGAAAACATTCAGTTTGAGTTGTTTCTCTTTGTTGTGGTTTAACCCCAGCTGGTAACTAAGCACCACACAGCTGCTCCCTCACTCCTGCCCTCCCAAGGGAATGGGGGAGAGAATCAGAAGAGTAACAGTGAGAAAAGTGTCACTTGAGATAAAGACAGTTTAACAGGTAAAGCAAAAGCCACTTGCGCAAGCAAAGCAAAACCAGGAATTCATTCACCACTTCCCATCGGCAGGCAGGTGTTCAGCCATCTCCAGGAAAGCAGGGCCCTGTCACACATAACGGTTACTTGGGAAGATAAACGCCATTACTCCGAACGTCCCCCCCTTCCTTCTTTTTCCCCCAGCTTTATATACTGATGGTATGGAATGTCCCTTTGGTCAGCTGGGGTCAGCTGTCCCGGCTGTGTCCTCTCCCAGTTCCTTGTGCCCCCCAGCCTACTCCCTGTTGGGGTGGGGTGAGATGCAGAAAAGGTCTTGACTCTGCGTAAGCACTGCTCAGCAATAACAAAAACATCTCTATGTTGTCAACACTGTATTCAGCACAAATCCAAAACAGAGCCCCATACTGGTTACTATGAAGAAAATTAACTCTATCCCAGCCAAAACCAGCACGCTCTTTTCGCTCTTCCTCTGTGCTTTCTATGGGAGTTCATTTATTAGCTTTTCTATTAAGGCAGACAGTAATTGGAGGAGAGGAAGGGGTGGGAAAATCCTAATTTTTGAATTAGTTATTATGGCTGGGTCAGACTCTGTGGGAAATGGAAAAAGCAAAGGGAGGGCGGAATGGAAACAAATTGGACCTTTTTATTTGATCTTTATAGAGGAAGGCTGTGAATCACTCCGAATACTAGTGTTTTCCACACTGACAGTTAAATGTGTTTACATGTGTGGGTATACTGGTGACTGAGCATTTTGAGACACTTGTTTATCAGCTTTTCTTACATAGCTTATGTGTTAGGCAGAATTTAGTGACTGCAATTTAGAAATGAGACATTGGTTTAGGGTTTGTTTTATAGTTTTCCAGGTCATTTTATTTTATCTGTGGTTAACTTAATGGTTAAAATTTGATGAGGTGTAAATACATGCAATGATTATTGTCTCTGGATTAAAAGAAAATTGTTGAAGTTGTGGCAGAGGACTGGCAGGCACTGGTGTCAAAAGTTTCAGCAAGCTACTGATCATTTTTGAGGCACGCATCTTACAAGCAAGATCTCAGGAATCTTGACACCTATGGATAAAGTAAATTTGAAATTTACTCATTGGAAGATGGGCTAAAAGTATCATCAAGGACAAAGCTCCCTGTCCAACTTTCATAATTTGACAATCATGTTAAAGCACAAAATTCTTTTTTTACTCTTTTTTTTTTTTTTCCAGTGTTTTGGCTCCTATTTAGCCAGAAAATGCACAAAAAAGGATAACTATTCTTTTTGCATAAAAAACCCCAAGCAAACAAAAAAACCAACCAAACATGTGAGACATTTCACTTTTCTTTCTATTCTTACCTTGAAGGAAGGGAATTTCTAAGAATTGTTTTGACTTGGTGACTTAAGTCTTTGCAGAGTTAAAATTCTGAAATGATTCTTAAGTGTTGAATCTTTACTAGGAGTGATATGTCATATGCATGTTGACTGTCCCCATATGGAGCCGTTCAGTTTTTGGTAAGAAATGACTGGACTATTTTGCTGATTCTTGCTTTGAATTTGCTGCCATCTTGCTCTTAAAGATCTGTCTCCCACCTGTGTTGCCTTTGGAGTTTTGCTACATTTTAGGAAATGGATTTGGAGAGTCAGTGCAAAAATACTGGCTCTTGACTAAGGGCAGCAGAGTATTTCCAAGAATCAGGTAAGTTGCCAGCTCTAAGTAGTGATTTTTTTTATTTTTTTTTTGGTACTGACTTTCTCATGACCTTTAGTTCTTCCTTGGTCTCTTTTGGAGAGTAGAAACTTTAGTTAAATCTTCTAAGACGTCTGTATGAACACAGAGGAATTGCCTGATTGTCACAATTTCTAGATGCTGACAGCCTAATGGAAAAATTAAAACGCTCTTTAAAATGTACTGTACACAGTGTTGCAAATGCATCAATTTGTAATGAATTGGACGCTCCTAATGGTTCTTTCATTTCACTGTCAAATGTTGGATGTGTGTTCGTGATTAATGCTTCATTGCTTCGTAGGAAAAACAAGTCAGATACTGACTTTAAAACATTGAAGTTTTGCATTCTGTTAGAATACAGAATGGAAAAACGCAATGTGATGTCATAAATTTCCAGGCATTACTGAGTTAAAATATTTTGTCTTGGGACTAGCAATTCTAATCTGTTTATTTTTTTTCCATATGTGAGACACTTTGGAAACCTAAACTGATCCTTTTTTTTTTTTTTTTTTTTTTTTTTTTTTTTATTTTGAAAAGGAGAAATAGAATATCACATCCACATGGGTGACCCCTCCATTTCCATTTATGGTGAGAACACCCCTCAGGATGGATAGAAATTTGGACTTTCCTTCCATGCCAGTCTCTGGTTAATTGGAAAACTGATCAGCTTGTTGTCTGAGTCACACAGTTAACAGCTTTGGCCATGCCTTCCGGAGACATTTGTGGAACTGGATATCCCCTCTGGGGGGGAAATATATAGTGAGTGTGAACCAACTGTATATGGTATAACAACTTCCCAGAAGTGTGGCTGTGTTCTGGTTTCAGCATCATCACTTTGCGTGAGCATCTTATAAGGAATGCTTAAGTGCTAAAATAAATGGATTTGAAATGTCTTTGCATACAGTTTTACATAATGCTTTGTCAACAGATCAACTACGGATATGACTTTCTAGTTGTGAGAATGCTCTACATTGAAAACATAATGAAATTATTTGATTAGAGGGTGAACACAAACTTTCTTTTATTTTCAGTGGTGGTTCAGTTTATAATTTATATGCTGATGATGATGATGAGACAGAGGCATCACCTTCTGGCCAACAGATTATCGAGAATTCAATTACTATGAATAAAATGAAACTGCTCAAGGCAAAGATGGAGAACATGAATCTCAGTAAAAAGGTGAAGTTGTGATTTCAATTTTTCTATCGTAAAATGGCTTGCACTTTCCTAGTGCTGGCTTTTCTAAAAAGCAGGTCAGATACTTTGTCTTGGGAGGTGAAGTTATCAAGGGTAGATGATTTCTTATCTCTCAGTTAAGTAAATGCTATTGTGTGTTCTGCTGTGGGGCGTTGGCTTTACTTGGATCTACCTGTCCGTGTTCAAAGAATTCACTACTGATCCTGGATTTATTTGTGTGGGTGTTTTTTTGGATGTGGGGTTTTTTTTGTTTGGGTGTGTTTTGTTTGTTTTGGTTTTTCTCTCAATACTTTAAGTAGCATTGTTTTGCAGTACTGCTCTGGTAAAAATCAATGTTTCTCTTAAATGAAACTCATTACAAATATTGTAACTGAAAAGCCTATAAAGTTAAATATGAGAATGAGATTACCTACAAGATAAAACATTACATTGGTGTTCATGTCTGTCTAGGTAACCTAGATGGAGATAGGCTTTCATCGCTCATCTTGTTTGAGACCCTAACCTCTTCTGGATAACTTTGATGGCATTCTGGCTTCCCTTTTCTGTTCCTCTGACAAGTGGCCTATTTACTAAAAAGCCTTTCCTGATTGATTTTGTTATTCAGATGTTGGGGTGAAGTCTTGATGGCTAGTAACAGATGAGGGAGTAGAAAGAATGATTTGGTCCTTTCTGGCTTTATGCTGTCAGAATTCCTGGGAATATGATCTCAGTCAGGTCTTTGAATGCAACTGTGATTCAAATACTAATTGTTGTTGTATGTGGTTTTGGTTTTTGGTTTGGTTTTTTTATAGCCTAAGAAAACTGTCAAGGTGAAACCTCGTCCTCCAATGGCTCCTCGACCATCTAGTGGCTCCGTGGCTGCTGCTCGTCACCGTTTTTTAAGAGTGCTCCCTCATATTGGACAGTCCTGCCTACCTCCTCCTGGGAATTCATATCCCTCGGAGTCTTCCCAAAATGCACTTTCAGCATTGGCTACTTTGGCCACTGCTGGTAGAACAATGCCATCCGCAACTAATGACTTTCTTAAGGAAGATGACACTTGGCAGAGCAACTCTTGGTCTCAGTCAGTTAGTAACATCAGGTTACCACCAAAAATATCTCGTGTCGAACTAGAAAATGCAAAACTACCTACAAATAGTATTCTGACTGCTGTTTCATCTCTCCCTGCAAATTCAGAAAAAGCATCTGAAAACGTGACCTCAGCAAGTGAGGAGGATGCTGTTTTGTTTCCGAATCTAACAAATTTAGAACTATATGGAACAGAAGAAAAACTTCTACCTGAAACAGATGCTTTTGCTTTGTTAACAGAATCAAGCACCACTGAACAGCATGGTGAGATATATGACATAGGAAAGGTGAACCCAGAACTTGAACTATCTGATGGAGATGAAGAATCTAAGGTTGTAGAGCAGCATAGAAAACCTGTTAGCAAAGTGCTGAGCACTGCAGCAATGGGGGCTGGTCTTCTCAGTACTCGTGAATTAAGTCCTCGGAAAAATCTGCTTTTGTCATCTCTTCGGTATTCAGCACAAGTGACACATCATAGTTCTCTGAAACCACAAGCACAACCCAAATGCTTTGAGGCTGGTAACTTGAGATCTACAGCCTCCCCAAATGTGCTTCGATCATTGGAAGTCCGTAGTATAGCAGACTCTTCTTTTTCTAGGACTACTAGATTGCGTAGCGTGAAAGTAGAGTCACTTGGCAAAAGACCTGATGTAATTTCTAAAGCAGAGGCTAGGGACATCACAGATGTGGCTAACAAGGCATCCAAAGAACCTGTGAGTTCTGTAAGTAATTTAGGATTTCTGGCTTCGCTGGCCCGAAGCACAAACAGGGAAGGTTTACAGAATTCCTGTGGAACAGGCAGGTTTCGGACTTCTGGTATTGCACTACCTACAAACCTGCAGCATTTTCAGGAAGAAAGCTTTAGGAAAACTGCTCCTCCAAATGAAGCTGCTGAATATATTCTAGTGAGTACTAATGCTCCCAAAGAAATTGAAGTTTTCTTGTTTTTTCTGGTACTGGCATTATGAAAACTGTACTTTCATGTGTGTGTCTATGTGCCTTTTCAGGAAAGGCACATGGGGAAGGGGAGGTGTACTTAAATCCCTGATAATCTTAAACTGTTTTCTGAATTCCTGTTGGTATCTTAACTGCCCATTTATCTAAACGGGTCCTAGAAGTAATTTTTCACAAAAATTAAAGAGGTGGTTCAGTTAACAACTAAAATTATTAGTTGTTGTAATGATAGAATTATTTGTGTCTGTGTTTGAAGTGTCGTCTGACTTCTGCTGCTGCTCACCAATTGTCATTTATTCCAAAGTTTTCCCTGTGACTGGTACCATATGTGCCTAGCTTCAGATCTCTAATGTACTTCCTTGTTTTTGTGTTGTGAAGTATGGGGAGACTATTAAATAATCATTTTGAGTAAGGCTTTATATTGCAGAATTTTAATTTTGTGTACAGAAGTCATCTTCGACTCTTTGTAGGTACACTGATTGATAAAACATTGATTTCAAATAAGCTGATACCAGGCTGCCTAACTTTTAATTTGATTTCCGTCTGCTAGTAATTTCCTTGTGGAAATTTTTTTTTTTTTAGTCTGCGCATGGGCTTGGAATGAATGGAAGTATTGCAGCTGTAGGGAAAAGAGTAGGTAAGTAATGTGACTTAATTGAAGATGACTCTTTAATCTTTCCTGATATATCACACATATAGAGGACAAGAATCATTTATCTTTGTAAGGCATATGTCTTTCAAAGTCCTTGCTGTATTATGCTTCTATAGCATGGAATAACCTAATATTTTAAGCAATTCTTTAACATACAGGTGGATACAACTGTGACTCTTCCCTAGCTTTTTTTTAATACCTAATGAATCCTGTTTGTCATCTATAGACATAAACATGACTTTCTGCTCTGAAGTTTACAAAAGGTCAGTTCTGTGGCTACTTCTGAGTGAAATAAAATCAGCCAAATTTATTGGTAGCATTGTCTTTAGGACTACAGCCTGAGCCAGAAGGATTCAGCAAAAGAAAAGTGGGGAGGAAGTAATAAGGGCATGGATGCTAAAGATTACTGATATAGTGCAGATTTTTCTCTATTTTTTCTTGTGGATATCATTCTTTCTACTCTAATCTTGGTAACTGTGGAGCGCTTAATGCTTGACATCTACTGAAAATGGATGTGTTGTGCCTAGATATTAATTTCCTATGTGATTAATTCTCTTAGGAGGAATGGAATTGTCTATATTAGTACTTTTAAAACTCTTAAGACAGCGAGCTAAAGATTCTCAGCACAATTGACTTTTCTTCTTTATATCTTTGACTTGCAGTTTGCAGGTTTTATTTCTATATGACCTTAGGAAAAGAGAGGCAGGCATGTATTCCAGGATTTTAAGATCGAGGTATAGAGAATGAGCTAGAAGACAGATCTTCAAGTAGCAGCTGCAAAAGGAAAAATGATGTAATTGTAATGATGTGGGAACAAAAGCTGCTAAAATAATGGATTGTGCTTTCGTTTCACAACCAGGGGTGCAGCGTTGAATTGGCAGTCAATTAATAAACAGGTCTGTCTTTACCTACTCGGTGGTAAAAGAGGTGCTACCCTAATAGCCACATCTGCATGGTGGGGAAGCGTCATTTTAGATAGAACTATGAAGACAACACTCCTCTGGTGTATCTTACGTTAGACAAAAGTGTATTTTCCAAAAGGTTCCAGACATGAAAAAAACAAAGTTGGTGTCATCATATCACACAGGCTCTTGAGAGAGAGGTGGTCAGTAATGATCTGTTGTATAACTGGCCAAAGGACAGATTCAGTTTACATGTAATTGCTGTAGGGACCATAAATGTGAGGTGTATTGTTTTTGCTGTTTAAGTATGGTCCACAGCTGGGGCTGTCTTCAGGCTCTGTCTTTTTGACAAACTGGACTAACTGATGCTTCTGAAATAGTATGCTTTTAGATGATGAAATTGATAGCATGGCCAAACATGGAAGTTTCAATGCTAGATAGCAATGGGTTAGCACTGGTTGGTAGTGATGACTGCAATGTGTTACTACTGCCTGCTGTTACTACTGAATGTAGCCTGTCGTGTCTCAGCTGAGAAAATGACTGTTGGGATTAAAGGTGTGCTGGACAAAAAATACTTCTGAACTCATGAGGTCACTTTTTGGGAGCATTCTGACAATATAGCAGCAGAAGCACTGAAAGAAGGTTTGAGAGGATGTATTGCTGACTTTCACTGTCCTAGCAAATGGTAAATATGCATAAACAAGTTGTGGACAAATAGCTTCTACAGAGGGAAGGAAGATGCCTTTTCTTTACATGCTCTCCAGTTAATAAAGCAACAGCCAAGAATTACAGTTAAGTAAAGTAAATTTTTAAGTACAGAAATTTTACAAACATCTGCAAAGTGAATTATGAAACCATATTGCTGAACAAAGGTTCATAGTTTAATAATGTACTTTTCTTGCAATTAGGGAGTACCAGCAAGATTTTAAAATGTTGCAGTATTTGTTTGGCAAACTTGAGTTATTAGCTACTGAATATACTAGATGCTAGGTACTGGAATGCCCAGTTGATTCTTTGGAAAGCCATTATGTGCAGTGCTTTCCCAATCACATGATGTGTTTTCATTTTGCATTTGGGAAAGCCATTAGGAGATGTGTTTCTTGAGTTATTCTTTAACTTCCTGCTTATGTCAACTTTTAACAGGTGTTAAAAATAATGGGTCTAAGTCCCACATTGTGCTGCCTCTTCCAAAGGTGTTCAGAGGCTTGATGTGTGTTTTCTCTTTTGGCTTTTGAGGGGTTTTTTCCTCTCTGTTTAGGCTTTGGGGTTCCCACCTGAGGTATCCTAAGAAATGCAAAATTAATCTGGAAAAGATAACATTTAACTAGTTTGTGATCGGGATAAGTAAAAATAAAATGTCTTTGCTGTCTTTCTACCTCTGAAAGCAGGTGAAGCAACCCATCTTCCACCTGTGAATGGCTCAATTCAAGCAAAAAAGAAAATTACAAAGCATTGCTTTCTTTGTGGCAAGAAAACTGGATTGGCAACCAGCTATGAGTGCAGGTAGGCTGAGCATATAACCAGCTGTTGTTTAAAATTGATAGCTGGGTTAACCAAAAGGTTTTCTATGCTGCATGGTATTCCCTACGTGTAGCAAATCAAAAGACAGCCGTCAAAAAAGTTGCAATTCTCAGTTTGGCAAAACTCCAGGAATTAAAATTCAGGAATGTTGTACCTATTTTGCTGTTGGAAGGGTATGTTCTTCCAGGAAAATCAAGAAATGCAAGATATCAGGAATTAAAGAACATGATTGCAAAAAAAGAACAATGACATTTTTTTACTGGTGTGGGGAGAACTTGCTATAGATTTATGTTCTGCAAAATTTCTCAACAAAAATTATATCATTAACAACTTGAGAAAAAACTGGGTTTTTTAGAATTTTTCAGAAAATCTCCCTCAGATTTGGTCCTATTATAACGCATCTGCACAGTTTGAGAATTTATGCAAATTTGTATTTGACAACTTTTTGATTTTAAGTGAGTTCTGGTTTTTGTGAGACTTTAGTCACCAGCATCTAGAGCATCTCAAAAGCAGAGCGCTGGTCCCCCAAATCATGACTTGCAGACAACACAATGAGACCTGGCACTTGGTGGTGATCACTGGAAACTTTAAAACAACAACCCCCCCTGCTTTCTCTGTTGATCTTGGTTTTCAAAGTACTGTTTCCCCACAAGGTATTATTTTCTCAGTATCATTTTGCATGAGCTAGTCAAGGTTGGGAACTGCTGCATTGTGAGGGCTACATTTGAAGCTGATCTTGGTTCATGCCAATCAACAGCAAAATGAACAAGACTTCTGCCATTGGGGAATTGTGTTGGAGAGTTTCAGGGTGAGGAACTGCCTCCTTACTTGACTCTTCAGTCTTTGATTTTGACACAGTT